GGAACTAATCCAACTGGTTAAAGCAGTTACATGCATAATGTTTTACTGCACAGCTTCTTTGTGGTTTATTCTCTTTATCATCAATGGCCTTAAAGAATTTAGGATATGTGCACAGTGTCCTACTAGTGTTCATGAAATGATACACTAAAGCTAAAAAGTAACATATGAGAACGCAAACACCTAAAACAGAATCCATATATCTCTTTTTATGTTTATCCTCAAAATTTGTACATACCGCAATGCGGCCTTAAGTTGTTGAACTGTCATTGCATTGATTCTGCCAGGATCACTCATGATGTCCTGAATTTCACACGCACTACATTTAAACCACATTCTTATAAAAGCATGAAAGCAGAAAATTTTTGATATGGCAATTACAAGTGAGATCATCAACAACCTTAAAAACACCCTCTTTGGAATTTTGATTGGTGCCCGCCAAACCTTGTTCTTTATTATCATTCTTGCCCTGCTCAACCACTTTACCTTTCCCGCCATTCCCCTACAATCCACCAAAAGCCGAAACAACTAAAACCACACACCATCCAAAAACCTACAAAGCATATAAAATCAACAGTAAGGTTAGTGGAAATAACCAAAGCAATCAACAACCTTAACTTCACCCTCATCAGAATTGAGGTCTGCAGTAGCTAATCCCTTGAGCTTCTTATCTGTCTTTCCCTCAACAGTTGATGAAGCCGACACGGATGAGTTTGAAAGGAGCCTCTTAGACACCATTAGTCCGACTGCCAAAGGGGAAAATGCCCTAGTTCTCAAACTCCTTGCTTTCACTGCAAAACTACACAGCATTTTCACTTTTAATCTCAATCCACTTACTTCAACAATGGGAATTTTTAAAAAAATAAATTGAAAAATCCGGGAAATTTCTAAGAAATCTTTGTAGTAGGAAAACTATGTAAAGAAAAGAAAAGGGCAGAACATGGTAAAATTGATGAAATTGTTGAACCCTAATTGAAATGTCAAACACATTTATCGAATCGATCCCGAAGCTCTAGAGAGGTTTACCGCCATGGCAACTGTTTATAGCTGCCACAGTGCCTTGAACATGGTTAATTTGGGGAATGGCAAGTCTTTGGTTAAAACTGGACTCCTACTTCTTCTTCTTCTTATTGTTATTATTATTACGAAAACGTGAAAATAGGACGTCAATCTAACTATCCGTTAAAGTGGGTCATTGATTAACACCCACTTAACAAATGATTGTAAAGTTTAATTTTTTGGATTCTATTATTATTATTATTGTAAAGTTTAATTTTTTGGATTCTATTATTATTATTATTGT